TTTCAGAAGAAATTCAGATGAAAACGAAGCAATTCAGGAGCATTCAGGAGTGCTGCAATATTTTGATGAAAATTCAGAAAAAAGAAGCAAAACTGTCCGATGATGAATTGCTTTTTAGAAGCAAAGGCATTTCCACTCGGGTACACGTCAAATTGAATATTTTCTTTTATTCGCGACGCCATTTTTGCTCCACTCAACAGAATCATTCCAACACACAATTCGTGTTCTGTAGTTTATTCGCTGAGTTTGGATATTCGACCAATTTAATTCTGCGACAAGGAAATAAAACATTTGATTTCTGATTGATTTCTAACAATGAAAAACAGTTGTGCAGAAAGGTTAGTTTTAGCACAAAGTGTATTTTTCCCAGTTTTCATGTGTGGTTCTAACAAAAGGTCATTCTTATTTTCTGGTTGACAGCAATAAAAACAGCGCCGTCGCAATGGATGGTCACGGTACAAAGCCGCCCGATAGGCAGCAATTCAATGACATTGAATTACAAATTGAATCAATTTCGTGTGGAATGGAAATCAAACCGGAGCCAACCATAAAACAAGAGATTGAAGTCTCCGGCGAAATTTTGATGGTGTGACGGTCAATACACACAGCCATTGCATCACGTGGCAGTCCGACTGGTGGTAAAGAAGTGGATGACAGCAACGATTGCTTCGATTTCTATGATTTGGATGAGGTAAAATCGGAAGTGAAGATTGAAAAGGTCAGAATTAAGGTGAATCAAGTTCCAGGGAAAAGCTGTAGCAAAGACCAAACGCCACGAAACAATGCAAGGAAGCGTTATTCGAAGGGAAAGAAACAAAAATCTGGTGTGCAGATTTATGGTAACGTAAAGAAAAATTCAACTACAGCTACCGAAAAAGAAAGAAAAATGACGAATTTAGGTGGAAAGAAGGTGAAAACTGAAGAAGTCAAGGCAAATGAAAAGCGACGCAAGTGCTCATTGTGCGAGTATGTCACTACACGTGAAAGTAATTTTATTAGGCACATGTTCACGCACACTGGCGATTCGCACAGTGTTCGCCAGTGGCGAACGACCATTTCCATGCAGCGTGTGCCAGAAGCGATTCACTCAAAAACGCAATCTCCAATCGCACATAAAAACACACGTCGATGAATTTCTGTTCAGTTGCTTAAATTGTTTGCAAGGATTTCATCGCAGCGAAGAGGAAAAGGAACATGAATCCGGTTGCAAGGTGCGTCGACACGAGTGTCATCTGTGCAAGGAATTCTCTACATTGGATAAAAAGGATTTGAAAGTTCATCTGCGCGTGCATACTGGCGAGAGAACATTCGAATGCAGCCATTGCTCTCAGAAATTCAATCAATCAAGTGCCTTGAAACGTCACCTTGAGACTCACATCAATCCTCGCCCATTGAAAATCAAGTGTTCATCTTGCTTCAAAAACTTCACACAACGGGAGGAAAAAGAAAATCATGAAGCCAACTGCAAGCGGCGCGGATACCGATGCGATTTTTGCAAGACCTACACAACTGATCAGAAAACAAATTGGATGGACCACATGCGAATCCACACTGGCGAAAAGCCATTCCGATGTGAGACCTGTGCGAAGTGCTTCTCACAAAAGGCAACTCTCAACAAACACAATAAGATCCACAAGTAGCTGTTAGCTCCCATGGAATAACACCTGCATCCTGCAATCAATCACATCGAATACACAACTTTTGATCATCAATTTGCATTAATAAAAACAAATACGAAAATGTATCAAACTTCCTTTATTTCCATTCGACAATGTTTAAATAAAATTGAATGTTGACAAACAACATTCATTTCGAGACTGATTTTAGTTATTTGTTATTAGCTGCCAACTGTGCGGGGCACATGTTATATGTTGCTTTCTATCAACTGTTGGAACAGAAAAATTGCATTCACAGCACGAAAACGAGCTCTTGAGCATTGTTCGAATCATTGATTATGACAAACAGCATGTGAACACACTGCGAAAAAAATGCAAAATTTATTTCGATTTGAATTGAACGTATGAACAACGTATCGTACGAATGAGATTTTAGGTTCCCTGAAGCCAAGATCAAGTGCATGTTATTCAATAAACTACTCTTGAAATTTTGCAAGATTCATCAATAAATTGATGCCAAGTTTGCAGAATCGGCTTCAGAGACATTTTTTCAGAAGACAAAAGAAGCGTTAACATCGAGTATTCAGCCGTGAATTGTAATTTCAGTCATTATTTCCTTCATCAACGTATAGATGACACGTTACATTTTGTAATTGTCCATACGGCTCTTAACCCTCTAATGCATTAATTTTTCCCAGGGCTGGGAGTACTGGTACTTGGTTGATTTTTGGCCATAGACAATTGAAAAAATATTCATAATCCTGGAATGCTCATGGTTTACTCAGGAAATGCGATTGATATAAATCAAAGAACAATCAAATCCATTGTTCAAAATTGCCGAAAATATGTCTAATTTGGAGTTCGAATAATTTATTTTGTCGCATTTTTGTTTTTGCACACATTTTTGTTTATAATTTTACAATCACACTACATAGACAAATATTGCCAAAGACAAAAATGAAAAGAAAACATTGTGAAATAAAAATTCCATTTGAAATAATGTGATCCGATGTACGGTTTACGTTCTATAGGCGTTCAAATGTTGCCCGTCAAGAAGCGGTTGTATGCATTAGAGGGTTAAATTTATATTGCCCTTTTACCAATAAAGAATAAAGAATGGAGGTGACATCTATCAAAATGCGATTTTGCAATTCTCTGCTGTAATATTCACAATGTGTCACGAAATTCTTCCATTCAAATTTCATCCAAAAAGAAAATCAATTTTCAGAAATGAAGAAGAACACACAATCCGAACTCATCAAAAAATTCGAAAGTCACTGCAGTAACACTACACCATATTTAGAAGTCCGACTTTTGCCATTTGTCATTGCGGTGTGTGACTGTGTGCGCATTTCGTCCATTGCTATTTCATCATCGCATCAGCACATCTCCGTGATTTGGCTACACGTTCAGTTCAACTCAATAAATATTTTCATTCTTTCACGACGCCATTTTTGCTCTGCTCAACAGAGTTGCTCTAAGACAGAATTTATGCGCTGTCGAGCTTAATCGACGGGTTTAGTCTTTGGATCGATTTATTTTTGCATTCCGGAACAAAAAGTTCAGTTTGTAGAGAAAAGGTGGGTTATTATCAAAGTGGATTTTTTTTAGTGTTTGTGTACTGTGTGGTTTAAAATAATGAACATTCTGATTTCTGATTGACAGCACTGACATTACGTCGAAATGAATGGTCACGGTAAAGGTCCGCCTGATAAACACGAATGTGATGCCATTGCATTGCAGAATGAATCGATTTTGGGCGGAAAGGAAATAAAACAGGAGCCGGCCGTCAAACAAGAGCCAAGAAATGACAATGGTATTGTAATGGTGTCGAGATCAGCCCACACAACCACTGGAAGACCTGACAATGTAATTGGTAGCGAGCGAGTGAATGATACCGACAATTATTTCGATTTCCATAATCTAGATGAGGTTAAAGTGGAAGTAAAGATTGAAAAGGTTAAGGATGAGGTGAATCAAGTTCCACGGAAGAGCTGTAACGAAGGTCAAACGCCACAGAACAATGCGAAGAAACGTTTTTCGAAGGAAGAGGAATGAAAATCCGGTAGACAGATTGGCGTTGGTTTAAATAAAAGTGTAGCTAAAGCCACAAAATATCGAGAATCAAGCAAAATTGGTAGCAAGAAGGTGCCAACTGAAGGCAAGGCAAATGAAAAGCGATACATGTGTTCATTGTGCGATTATATCACTGACATCAAAACCAATTTGAATAATCACATGCTCAAACACACTGGCGAACGACCATTTCCATACAGCCTGTGCCGGAAGCGATTCACAACAAAACAAAATCTCCAATCGCACATGAAAACACACGTCGATGAGTTTCTGTTCAGTTGCTCAAATTGTTCGCAAGGATTTGATCGCAGCGAGGAAAAGGTGGAACATGAATCTGATTGCAAGGTACGTCGCTACGAGTGTCACCTGTGCAAGGAATTCTCAACATTGGATAAGACGAAATTGAAACGTCATCTGCTTGTGCATACCGGCGTGAGACCATTCGAATGTGAACAATGCTCAAAGAGATTCAATCAACCAACTGCTTTGAGACTCCATCGCAAAACTCACGGCAATCCTCGTCCTCGTCCTCGTCCATTCAAAATCAAGTGTTCAACTTGCTTCAAAATCTTCGCACAACAGAAGGAAAAGGAAAATCATAAAACTGATGATAAACCAAATATGATGAAACATATGCGAGTCCACACTGGCGAAAAGCCATTCCGATGTGAAATATGCTCGAAGTGCTTCTCGCAAAATATAGAAGTAAAAAATTGTAATGCCTATTACCTATTACTATTACTATTACTTTTGTAATAGGATCACCTATTACTATTACTTTCCTATTACTTTTGTAAAAAAAATTACCTATTACTATTACATGTAATAGTAATAGTAATAGGTTCACCCTGTCACAAAAGTAATAGGAA